AATGACCCCAGAGTGAGTCTGCTGCATCACACTTGCCTCTTGTTATATCCAGACTCAAGGGGGGCCTCAAAGATTTTGCCTGGTCTGACCTCTGTTTTCTTTTTCTTTTTTTAATCTCTTTGTATCCAGCTCCTAGTCTTGCTCCAAGCCCAAGACATTCCAGAGCACGGCAGGCCCTTTTATGCCTCAGTGTCTTTGCACATGTTATTCCCAATATCCAGAGTTTCTTTTCTGGTAAAATCCTACACATACATGAAAGTCCAACTCAAACTTCCAGTGTCATCTTCTCTGTGACATACCTAGTTGTCCAACCTACATTTTAACTTTTTTTTTTTTATCTTTACCAGAGGACATTTTTTGATATTTTGTTCAGATAGAGTAGGAGGGAGAGAGAGAGAGAAACACCAGACGTGAAAGGGACTCACTGAGTGGTCGCCACCCGCACGATCCAACCAGGGCTGGGGACAAACAGCAACCAAGGTACGTGCCCTTAGCAGGAACTGAACCCAGGTCTCTCTGGACCACAGGCCGACACTGTAACCGCTGAGCCAAACCAGCCAGGGCCATTTTAACTTTTTTAAAAACTAAAATTCTCTTAAAATTTTTGTTAACATTTAATAACGATAAATCAATTTTTCCACAGTCTTTATGTTTTTGTTTTACAGGTGAAATTAAAAAGTCCTCGTGTAAACTAATCAGACATGAATAGATTTTTATAATAAACTCTCAAATCTTTTTAGAATTTTATTTCTTGGGATGGCAATAGCATTGCTATAATAGTATAAGTTTTCTTTAAAAAAATTTTTAAATATGTTTTTGTTGATTTTTTACAGAGAGAGGAAGGGAGAGAGAGCTAGAAACATTGATGTGAGAGAGAGACATAGATTGGCTGCCTCCTGCACGCCCCTCACCGGGGATTGAGCCTGAAACCCAGGCATGTGCCCTGACCAGGAATCAAACTGGGACCTCTCAGTCCCTGGGATAACGCTCAACCTACTAAACCACACCGGCCAGGCTAAGTTTTTTTTTGTTAGTCCTCACCAGAGGACATTTTTTCCATTGATTTTTAAGATAGAGTGGAAGGGAGGGAGGGAGGGAGAGAGAAACATCAATGCAAGAGGTTGCCTCCTGCACGACCCCAACCTGGTTGGGTATCAAACCTGTAACCCAGTTACATGCCCTTGATTAGGAATTGAACCCGTGACCCTTTGGTCTGCGGGCCGATGCTTTAAATGCTGAGTTGAACAGGCCAAAGCTATAACTTCTCTTTTTTATTCAAATAAACTGTTTTCAAGGTTAATGGCTATTAGCAAATCTTGATTCATAATACTCTGCTAAGGCAAGATAGAAACATGATACTTGAAAATTTCTTTTCAGCATGGTCGGTGTGGCTTAGTGGACTGAGTGTCCTCCCATGGACTGAGAGGTCTGAGTTTGATTCCCAGTCAGGGCACGTGCCCAGGTTTCAGGCTGGATACCCAGCAGGGGGCACGCAGGAGGCAGCTGATCCTTTTTTTTGTCTCACACCTATGTTTCTATCTCTCTCTCCCTTCCTCTCTCTCTAAAAAAAAAATATCAATAACATTATATTTAAAAAAATAAAATTTATTTTCAGTCCTGGCCAGTATGTCTCAGTAGTTAGAGTGTCAACCCACATCCCAAAGAGTCGCAGGTTCAATTCCTGGTCAAGGGCAAGTATCTGGGTTGTAGGTTTGATCCCTGGTTGGGGTCATGCAGAAGGCAACCAATCAATGTGTTTCTGTCACATCGATGTTTCTCTCTCTCTCTCTCCCTTTTCCTCTTTCCCTTCCACTCTCTCTAAATATTAATGGAAAAAATATTCCTGGGTGAAGATTAACACAAAAAATAAATAAAGAAAATTTATTTTCAATTTCCTATGAACTATTTTATAGTAAAAAATTATTTGGTATTTAGTATTCTTTTTTTTTTTTAAGGATATTTTTCCATTTTTTGTTCAGACAGAGTGGGAGGGAAAGAGAGGAAGAGAGAGAGAGAGAGAGAGAGAGAGAAACATCGATGTGAAAGGGACACATTGAGTGGCTGCCACCCGCATGACCAACCAGGGCCCGGGACAAACTGCAACTGAGGTACGCGCCCTTATCGGGAACCGAACTCGGGTCTCTGGACCACAGGCCGACACTCTAATCACTGAGCCAAACCGGCCAGGGCGGTATTTAGTATTCTTATGCTCAAATTCTAAAAGTAATCTTTAGCCCCAGCTGAACTTGGTATTCCAAGATTAAAAATATATTTTAGTGATATTACTCACTAAGTTCTTTCTTATCACTGAAATATGTGCTTCCCTTTATCCTTGGGCGTCTCGAATCATCAGATGTTAGGGACCTCCTGAAATGGGTTTCCTTTTCTTTGTTCTTCAGTTTTGGCTGGAAAGCTATGGCCTGACTGAGGTTGTCAAGAGCAGGATCTTCTCGTTCATCTCCACTTTCTTCTGCTTCTTCACCCACATTCATAACACTTAAATTTATCAAAGTCATCCTGTCTTCGGATGAACTCAGCCGCTCTTCCATTGTCAATAGCAATACTTGCTTTTATCACTTTACCATATAACTGTTTGTTGTTTATTGCCCTGGGATAGTTTTGTGCGGTCTTTATCCAAAAATAAAGTAAATGCAATGTTTTTACTCTTCCTGGTATCTTTACCTTTAATTATAGTGTAACCTTTACAATTTGCCATACTTGGAAAATAGCTGGTATAAGTCATTGTTGGTCAGGGAAAAGGGCAAGTTGGATACATACACTGTGTCTTGGTGCTAATCCACCTCTTATTTCTTCAGGTGGGGTGGGCCTAGGAGATCTGAGGAGCGAGAGCCCTCAGATTAGTTGGGGCTCAACCCCAGCTATTCCTTCTCACTAGAAGTGGCCTTGGCTTCACAGGTACTTGGGGTCAGGTGTTGCAGATGAAATGCCTCTTCCTGGCTGGCAGCTGGCTCCCATTAGACCCAGGAGCTGGAGGGGGCTCAGAGGCCGGCACTTTTGCAGACCTACATTTTACCTGGAAGTCAACTCTTCAGACCCAGGGCCTAGCTAGCATTAGAATAAGCCCCGAAGGGGGTGCAATAAAAGTTGCAGGGGTGACTTAAGGTGTGTAAATCTGTTACCCAGCAAATATGGGAACGGGATAAGCTGCTCTCTGGTTGTTCGTTTTCAGCATTTTTTTTTTTTTTATGTGCCCCCACTGAGAATCAAACTGGGACCTCTCAGTCCATAGGACAACGTTCAATCCACTGAGCCACACCAGAGTTCCTTTGGCACATTTTTTGATGCTGACCCATGTATGTCTTCCTGGGAGAGAAGGTCCTGAGAGAAAAGCCTTGATTTCAGTGGGGATCTGAGCCCCCATTATTAGAAACTGGGGAGACCGGGGCAAACATCTTTTCTCCTTGGTACAGAGAAGCATGCAAAGCACAAAGGAGGTGCTCATTAAACATTTGTTGAAGTGGATTGCTTTTTGCTTTCTGCAAAAGTTCCAAGCATCAGCCAGGGACAACTGGACGTCATTTTAGCGGTTATCAGCAGTTTGGATAATTCATGAGTCCTTTCCTGGGCACGAGACTACTGCTTGCTCTTAGAACCCCTGGGGAAGAACCCTCTGAATCTGCGGCTTTGACCCCAAGGTGTGCACGCACGCCCGTGCACACGCACGCTCATGCACCGCGTAGGGCCGAAGCTGGGTGTGGGAGTCAGGGCAGCATCCCCACCCACCCCATCGGGGATGGCGAGGGCTCCTTTCCTCAGCCTGGCTGCTTGAGGAGCAGGGCAGAGGGGGCTTGAAGAGCAGGGGCAGAGGCCGGGGTGGGGGGTGTAATACCCCGCCCCTTTGCGCCCCGCCCCCTTACTTTCACTTTTCCTCGCCAGGTCCACGTGGGAAAGTCCCTTCGCGCCCCTCCCGACCGCACGCCCGCCCGCTCCCACCTGTCACCCCCATGCAGACCGAGGAGGCGACCGAGGAAGCTCCGTCGGGGAGGCGGGGGCTTGGGGAGGGCTGGTGGCTGCTGCCCCTCCGCCTCCAATGTGCCCTTTGGTTGGGGACTGGGCAGGGCGGTGGAGATGCTGTGGGCGCCCGCGCCTGTGATGTCGCCGCCTCTGTGACGTCCCTGCCGCGAGTCCAGCGGGCCGGGAACAGCACTCAGGATTTCCGGTGCGTGGGTAGGAGCGGCCTTTGGGGGGCGACCTCCGGAGGAGGCAGCCCCACCTCGTTCAGCTGCTAGGGCCCCTCTCGGAGGCCTTGGCGGCTCTGCTGCGCAGCTGGCCCAGGGCAGTGAGGACTGCGGAGGGTAAGTTTGGGTTCTGCCGGACTGGCCCTTGCACCTGTCCTGGGCACACAGGCACAAGACTGTTGCCCTTTCTTTGTACCAAGGACCCCTCCAAGAACCCACTGAATCTCCAGCCTTTACCCAACAGTGTGCATATATGTCCCTGCCCACACACAATGTACAGCCTCAGGGGGTATGGAGCCAGATGAGACCAGGCACCCTGGGTGCTGGTGGCATCCACCCTCAGTCCCCTGTCCCATGACCAAGCTACCCACTCTAAGAAGTCACCTTTGATCACATGCAGGCACTCAGGAGGTGGCTGGAAGGGCTGGGAATCCAGGCCCACTCCCAGTTCAGTGCCTTGGAAGCCTGGCCTCAGGGACAGGAACAGTGGGTGGGGCAGTCTTTGTTCTGGGATGTGGTGTGCTCCACCTGTCCACGCCTGGCCAGTGCCCAGGCCTTTTCTTTTTCTCTTTTTATTTTATTAAAAAATTTTTTAAAAATACATTTTAGAGAGCGGAAGGGAGAGGGAAAGATAGAAATATTGATGAGAGAGAACATTGACTGGCCACCTCCTGCATGCCCCCCACTGGGGATCAGGCCCACAACCTGGCATGTGCCCTGACCGGGAATTGAACTGGCAACCTCTTGGTGCATGGGTTGATGCTCCACCACTGAGCCACACCAGCCAGCGCCTCGGCCTTTTCTTCATCATTCTCCTCCTCCCTCGGCCTGGCAGTGTTTGGCAGGGACTTCCCTGCTGCCATCAGGTGGGTTATCTTGCTGAACTGGTCTGAATGGATAGCTCAGAGGTGGAAGCACCCACTGGGAGGGGTGGAAAAAGTAACCCCACTTAAGAAAACCGCCCTTGCCCCAAACAAGGGGCAGACTTGACAAGCAGGCAGACGAGAGTGGAGACGGCCATGGCCAAAATACGTGTCATCACTCCAAACTTTATTGCTTACAGAATTCTCTACAACTCGAACTCTGCAGTACCAAGGCTGCAGTTCTCCGTGCTGGGGGCCAAAGTCTCTCCCTGGGGAGCAGTATGGCTTCATGTAGATAGCTGGACAGAGAGCACCTTGGCAAGACATGGGGACAAGCTTTTCCCAAGGAGGAATCTCAGGGGATATCCCCTCATCCCCAGGGGCTGAGACCAGCAGGCCCCTCAACCCTCAAAGATTCACAGTTGATTAATGCTACATGAGTTCTGATCAACTTCCCCCCTGAAGAGGTGGACTGGGGCAATGGAGAGGAATTGGGGGGGGGGGGTGCTCACCTTAAAGAATTCTGAAGGTTTGAAGGGATCACATGTGTGGAAACAGGTCAAGACTTGTGTCCCTTCACCCCATCTCCTAGTCTGCTTGTGCTCATGCAGAACCAGTGACCTGCCCTTCTGGAGGGCAGCCATGAAAGTGCTTCGTGGTCATCAGAGTGCAAAGTGCAGCTGGCAGAGCCCATGTAACCAGGGGCAGGGCAGGGTCAGTGTGGGCATGATGCCTGAGCTGTGTCTTGGGAAGCTGTTGTGCAAGATGTTGAAAGCTGTGGCTACACCTGCTGCTTTCTTTTCCATCTACCGTGCCTTATCCTCCGACTGTCCCTGTCAGGAAGGCCTGGTGCCCCTCACCCTTCACTTTTACAGATGAGGGAACTGAGTGCCAGCTAGCCAGGGGCAGTGCTGGGCCTGCAGCTGGGGCTTGGCACCTGCTGCTCCGGGGAAGACTGGTGGCCCGCAGCAAAGGGGCACGTGTGTGGGGACTGAGAACTGTATCACTTGAACACCTTCTTTGGTCCTCGGCTGAAGCCGAGTTCAGCGCAGGACCTGTGTGGCAACGCCCTGAAAAGTGTGGTATGTTCTCCCAGGGAGACCTGCCAGTCAGGCATTCCTCCCTCCCTGACTGAAGAATTCCTAGATCTAAAAGGGGTTCAATGGCCAGGCAAGGCCAGGCAAGGGGGTCAGAGGGTCCCCTGTTTACCCAAGGGTGGGCACACCTGTTGCCTGGCCCTATATGGACCCGGGTGTGGGTCTTCAGACACTGACACCCTCGTACCTGTCTGGAGGCTGAGGGGCTCGCCTGCCTCTCCCTGACCTGGGCTGGAAACTGCTCTCCCCTGATTTCCAGCAAGTGGTCACTGAGCCAAAGGGTCAGGCCAGCTTGTTTGAACCAGGGCAGAGAAGACCCTCTCTGTTCCCTGAAGGAAGAGAGTCTTCCTCCTCCTCCTCACGTGGGCATAGGGTGTTCTCTTGGTGGTCAGTAGGACACAACTGGGAAATCCTAGGAGGCCTTTTGCTGGTGCCCACTTTGCCCTTGGTCCCACCGCTGAGAGCCCTGGGAGCAGCCCTCGCCTGTGTCTCAGCGGCAGCATCGAGCCCCGAGCAGGAAGGCTGCTTCTGGCTGAGCGGAGCCGGTGGCGGAAGGCTGGGTTAGGGCCTGTTCTCCAGCTGGCCGTGCTTGACTCTCCAGCTCCAGGCGAAGCTGCCATCCGGGGCCAGGGTACACTGCAGGTCAATGCCCGAGTCTGGCACCTCCATGTCGTAGCGCACAGGCTGCCCGTCCTTGGTCACCAAGCTGAAGGCTGCAGCTGGGATCTGGGACAGAGCAAAGCAGTGGGCCTGAGACAGTGGCCTGGGTCTCAGAAGCTGCCTAGAAGTATTAAGATGCCAGTCTCCCCAGCACTGGCAGCTACCTCCCTCCAGCAAGCAGTCAGCCCTGAAGGCAACCTGCCTTTCACCTGGTCCAAGTGTGGGTCCTGTGAACTCCTCAATCACCGCTGCCAGTCTTGCCCTGAGACCCTGGGGGACGTCCAATGCCACTATTCTCTACAGGGCCATTTCTACTTATTCAGACGCCTTCCTCTAGGGGGGCTGGGCCAGGTGCACTGGCTTCTGGAAATCTGCCCCTTACCTGGCTGCTGATGCCAGTTGCGATGTCTCCCACCTTGACCCGGTGGAACTCCCGGATGTGCAGGTGTTCGCCATTGAGAGACTGTATTTGGACTTTCACACCTAGAAGGCAAGCCAGGTGACCGTCAGCAAAGTGGCCACTGCTCTCTAAGGAGCCCTAAGTAGAGGAAGCAGGTTGGCGGTGAGGAAGCTGCAGAGATGATATTTAGTCTGGAGTGGCCCTAAGATTATACACCTCCTAGGTCTTCCTGTCTATTTTCTGGCAACAACAGAATATGGCCTGCGCAAAGCAAAGAGCTAAGGTTGGCTTCTATGGGGAAGTACTACTCTATCGCGCACACAAAGCAGAAAGGAACGGGAAACAAAGATTCTTAAATAGACTGCAGGCAGCTTAGAGGATAATATTCCTTGAGCTGGAGGGGCCTCCGGCCAGGCAGTGTGGGCTTGATACCATGAGTCACACTGGCCCTGGAGAAGGCCAGGGAACTGTGAGCTGATGAAACCCTTGTTCTATTGAAATTGCAACATAACTTATGCATCCAAGCTTGAAAACTAAGTTCTATATATGTTCTTTCTCCAAGTTTGACTTCAAGTCCCAGAGAAGGATCCCAGCGACCTTGTTGCTGAGTTCTTGACTTAAATCCTCATGGTGTCCTGATCTTCCTTTTCCCTCCAGAAGACAGTCATTGCTCAGTTTCTTGAATCTAGGCCAAGACTCCTGACTCCTGAGACTCTATCAGTGGCCCACAAGGGGCAATGGCCCCGTGCCCCACCAGGAAAGGGTGATTAGGGCCTTTGCTCTAAACTGATCTAATGGCCAAGTGCTTCAAGATCTGGACGCCATGTGCCTTCCTCTCCCTTCTCCATGTGCCAGGGGAAGGGAGACATAAACCTCTCAGGCTCCCTAGTGCCAGGCGGATCGGGTACTTGGGGCTGCTGAGCAGGTGGGGGTTGGACTGTACCGTTGAAATAGCTTGGCGTGTCGGTGGGCCGTCCCCGGGCCAGCACCATGTTCCAGCTGGAGCTGCGAGCCTCGGCCTGGCTGCCCCAGGAGTGCACGCCGGAACTCAGGGTGTCCCTCGAGCTCTGCGATGCCTTTGACGGGTTCTGAAACAACCAGGACACAGACTCAGGGCCTCCCCTGCGATGAGGAGCTGCTCTTGTCCTAAGCTGGTGCATAGTCGTTCCCCTGGGCACTTTGGGGGCGAAAGGGGGGGGCTGCGGTCATGAGGGGCCCTTGGGCTGGAAAAGGGTGAGGAGTATTTCTGTGGGGACCAAGACCCAAGCTTCCTTCCCCACCACCCCCAGTGCCCAGCTGTGCTGGAGAAACCAAGACCCCCTTGCCCCAGTGAGGACCCCTCCCAGAAGGAAGAGGTGACCGACCCCATTACCCTGCCTTTCTTTACCCACTACTTACATACAACCCATTTACCAGCTGGACACGAAGCCACCTGCCCTGGTGCCTGGTCCACGGCTGACTCACCTTTTCACTGTCATCTGACAGGGAGAGGCTGTCAACGCTGAGGCACGAGAGAATTTGCTCCTGTTCCTCCAGAGAAAATGGCTGGGACAGGCTATTCAGAAATAATTCTGCAAAAAACCCCAAAAACCAGAAGATGGCTGTGAAAGACTGGGAGGGGTCCGGCTGTGCTGTCAGGGTCCTTCCTGCAGCTGTAGGAGCTGGTCTGTGGGAAGGGGCTGGAAGAGAACCCACGCTGGCTGCAAAGAGGAAGCCAAAGCCGTGGTGGGGCCCAGGCCTGACCCAGGGACCCAGAGGTCGCGGTGCCCATACCTATTTCCAGCTGCTGCAATTCCTGTTCTGGGAAGGTCGCCTTTCGCTCCGGTGAGCTGGGGTTTTTGGTGGGGGATGGGTCCAGGGAGGACAGAGGCAAGGGTTCCCATGTCCCAGACTCCTCCTTGCCCCAGTTCAGGCTTGGACACTTGTTTCGCTCTGGGGGATCCGGAGGTAGAGGAGGTGGGAGCTTGGGGGCCCCGTCTGTTGTGTCCTCAGCTGGCTGGGCCCCCTGGGCCCCTGGTGAGAGCTCCCTTGGCTGGGCTTGAGGGGTCTGGTGAGAGGGGGCTGGGCTTGGCAGCGGCGGACAGGCTTGGTGTGGCGGCGGATGTCTTGGCTCTTTATACTCTCCCCTCCAAGGGCTCTTCAGACCTCCCACTACAAAGCAGAGAACACACGTGGTGAGGTGGACACAGGCCAGCGCAGACTAGGCCAGGCCAGGTGGCCTTTCCTGAAAAGTGAGGGACACACTTTAGGAGGGCAGTGCGTGGTCTCCAGAGGAGGCCTCTTCCATTAGACGGCCTCCTATAAGGGGAACAGGCAGCATTTTGGTTTTTATTCCACTTCCTCCTAGGTAACAGTAGCAAATTTAAAAGTGACAGAACTGGCCCTGGCTGGTTTGGCTTGGTGACTAGAGTGTTAGCCTGTGGACTGAAGGGTCATGGGTTCGATTCTGGTCAAGGGCATGTACCTGGGTTGCAGGTTCAATCCTGGGCCCTGGTCGGGGTCATACAGGAGGCAACCAATTGATGTGTGTCTCCCACATTGATGTTTTTCTCTGTCTGTCTCTGTCCTTCCCTCCCTCCCTTCCACTCTCTCTTAAAAAAAAAAAAATCAATGGAAAAATATCCTCGGGTGAGGATTAACAACAACAACAACAAATTAAAAGTGACAGAATTGGCTCCAGAGAAGGACTTTGTTAATATTAATAGTCAAGAGAAGATTTAAAAACCATTCTGGGGTAACACCAACTCAAGAGTTCCCAGCTCAACTGGCCTTCCTGACCCTCCTCCATCTCTGACTGCTCCCTTTCCAGCCAGGCTTCCCCAGGGCACCATTTCTCATTTCTCCGGGCGTGCTCGGCCATCCTTATAATGCCTATGTTTGGGGTCGGGGGGGTAGGTAAGGTCCCTCTCCTGTTTCATTTATTCCGTTTTCATTCCCATAACCACTGCCTTTCCTCTGCCCACCCCCCTGGTAACATTCCATTACGTTCAATGTGTCATTTTGGATTTGATCTTGTTCTTGCAAACTGTTGTTTTTATTTATCAATGTTTTTTTTTTATCTTACCCAAGGACATTTTTCCTTTTTTTGCTCAGATAGAGTGGGGAGGGAGGGAGAGAGAAAGAAACATCGACGTGAAAGGGACACATCGAGTGGTTGCCACCCGCATGACCCAACCAGGGACAAACTGCAACCGAGGTACGTGCCCTTAGTGGGAACCGAACCTGGGTCTCTCTGGACCGCAGGCCGACACCCTACCGCTGAGCCAAACCGTCCAGGGCTTTATCGATGTTTTTATTCACAAAAAAGGCACTGTGTTGTAGGCCTCTCTCTGTTGATCCCCTTTTCACCCAGCACTATGGTTTTAAGCAGCCAGGTTGCTCAGTGAACATGGAGTTGCTTTAACTGCTGTGTGGTGCTCCGTGGGCACCCCCCACCCTTGGCCTCTCCACTCCTCCAGGTAGAAACACCCGACTGCATCCAACTCCCTCCCACAAACGCTGCTGCAATACCATCCTCAGGGTCGTCCCTGTATGGATCTGGTGACAACTCCTTTGGCAGCATGCCCCGGAGTGGAGTGTGGCTCACAGGTCTGCAGATGTCTGCCCAGGTGCTGCCAAGTGCCCTCAGCAGAGCCTACGGACCCTGTCCCACATCCCCACCAGTACTTGGTGCTACCGACTTTCAGATTTTCCCCACTCAAATGACTGGAGAGGGAGAGCTGGCTTGGCTGCATGTTCTCTGATGACTAACGAGTCTGGGCCCCCTTTAGACCTTGTAACTCCATTCCCCCATGTCTTGAGCGCGTCCTCTGCACGGTACTCAGCACTTTTATTCACGTGACCTCAGGCAAGCCTGAAGCTGGCGTCATCCCCATGCTCTCCGTGGGGAAACCAGGGCTCTGGCCGTTGGAGTGCCTTGCTCCTGACCGCTACATGACCCCCAGCCTCTCTTGCCCCTGTCAGCGGCACCAGATTCGTACCGTGCTGCAGCGCCAGGCTGACCTTCCCCCCCAGCTCCACCGCAGATGCTCGGCGGCCAGGCTCTTTCCTCAGCCCCTCCTCGATGGCCTGGGCTGTGAGAGGGGCGCAGGAAGGTGGGATCTCCCTCACAGGCGGAGGCTCGCTGGCAATCTGGGAGTCGAAAAGCAACACGTGAGGCCTGCCTCCCCTTCACACCCCAGCACCCAGCTTTCTGTGCTTGCTTCTCTCCACTCTTCCCACCCTGCTGTGCTGGGGTTGGTCACGGGCCTGGGGGAGACTGAGGGCTGAGACTTTTCCAAGAACAGGAAAAAGGGGGCAGGTAGGACAGGTCAGAGCCAGGCAGCAGGACGCCCAGGACCTCCAGGCCCAGCCTGTCAGGAGGCAGGCAGAGGTGGCCCAAGGTGTGGACTTAGGAGCGCTCTGACCTGCTGGGAACTCAAGGAGATCCCTTGCCTAGGGTCTCCCCTCAGATCTGGGTGACACGTACTGTAGTCAGGATCCCACATTTATGATGAGGCCTCTCCCTGTTCCCTGCTCCCACCTGCCACTGAAGAGCAGCTAAAATGCAAGGCCACCTCGAGCCGGCAGCCAGGCCCAGTGGCCCTGCTGGCTTTTCCTCCTGCTGTCTCAGGCGATGTCACTGACCTTGAGGCAGAGCGGCCCTCGGAAGTACTGGGTCCAAGGGTGGCAGCCGTTGAGCATATGCAGCATCATGCAGCAGCTACTCCACACGTCCACCTTGGCATCGCAGGGCTTGCCCATCACCACCTCTGGAGCCATGTGGGTCTCTGTGCCGGGGATGTAGTCCCCTGAGGAGGCAAGGGAGACAGAAAAGTCACCTGTGACCTCTGATAGGCAAGAGCTTTGGCAATGACCACCCCAGTCCATTCCTGAGGTACCCTGAATTTATCTCAGTTAAAGTGCTTTAAATAGAGATAAAGCCTCCATATCAAACCTGCTGGCTATGAGCTAAGTCAGAGGTTCTGCTGGGGACTGGTACAAAGACTACATCACCCAAACACGAACTCTGCCCTTTGGACCAAACCCTCATAGTGCTTTTTAAAAACGGGTAGGTGCCTGGACACTGAAAATTAGGTTGTAGAAGACTAATTAATGATATCATAGTCCTGAAATTTTAGTAAGCAAGAAACAAAAGAAAACATGTGCATGAAGGCTAGAAGGATTGATACCAGATGTAAACAGTATCTTTTCCTGGAGGTCTATAGTTTTTATTTTTGCTCAGCTCTGCTTTCTATAACTACATTAGAAAAGAAAATATTTTTGTGATAAGAAAAACACACAATTTCTTTTAGAGTAGAGGGCAGGTTGTCCATGTTCCATTTACATCTTCAGAATCACCACCACAACCCTTTCATAAGCAAACACGTCCAAAGGTGGTTTTTCCTTTGGTCAAAATGAAATCATTTTATGCTTAATGCTATCAATGAAAAAAGCAGGGCACAAAATTGGATTTTAATGGCCTTAACTATGTACAGAAAAAAACCAAAAAGACCTGGAAGGAATTATCTAAAATATTCATGATTATCTCTCTGGGCAGGAAGAGTGGTGAGAATTCCTTTTTTCTCTCCCCTTCTCTACCACTTAACTCTGTAGTTGCCAAATATCTTACAATGGCCTTGGATTATTTTAATAAAAAAAATATAAGTTAAAACCAGATATTTTTCACCTGGCCAGTGTGGCTCAGTGGTTGAGCATTGACCCATGCACCAAGAGGTTGCTGGTTCGATTCCCAGTTAGGGCACATGCCCAGGTTGTGGGCCTGATCCCCAGTGGGGGGCGTGCAGGAGGCGGCCAGTCTACATTCTCTCTCATCAATGTTTCTATCTCTCTCTCCCTCTCCTTTTTTCTCTCTCTAAAAAAAAAAAACACGCACAGATATTTCTCCAGCTACACAGCCCAGGCCTTTGTGCCTCCAGAAACTGCTCCCAGAGGCATGGGAAGGCTGGGCACAACTCCCCCAGGAAGGCGGGACAAGAGGGATGGAACCATGGAAGCTCCTGGGAGAAGACCTGGGACCCAGGACGAAGCCTGCAGCCTTCCTAGTCTCCTCTGCATAAAGGGAACATCAGAAACGAGCAGCTGGCATGTACTATTGCACTGAAGCCTGGCAAAAGAAGCCTTATACTACTCTCGGGTTGCTGTGGGGCTGAGGATGTCGGTGGCCATAACGTGCTCACGTCTATGATCGCCGTTATGGAAGGTACAGAAGACACAGGGCTCTGGCTTACTCAGGCTACTGGCTATTATCATCACGGGGAGGGGCAGTGGTGCGGCTCACCTGTGAGCAAGGAATTGCCCAGGCCGTCAGGTCGAAGGCACACAGCATGGCCAAAGTCACAGAGGGCTGCACGACTCCCATCATTGGACAGGAGCACGTTGTCAGCTGCCAGGCGCCCCGGGGAAGAAGAGGAACAGGTGAGTCATGTCGGGCTCCGGCCCAACCTGGACCTCCAGTGAGGCAATTTTCTGGCTGACCCTACATGGCAGCTGCTGCTTCTGATTAGTTTCATTAGTCATGGACGAAGGGAGGAAGGTATCAGTTCAGGCTGGAGGCAGGCAGCAGGCAGGAGTTTCAAAAGTGAGGGGGACAGGAGCAGAGTTTACTCCTGGGGATGCTGCCACTCAGCTCTGCTCCCCCCACCCTCCCCCAATGGTTACCAGTATGTGGGAGCTCAATCTGTAGTTCTCTGTGGGCGCCACCCACTGGAACTACAGTGCCAGGCTTAGAGAACATTTCCCCTTCCCACTGGCATAGCCCTGTCAGCCTAACTCAGGCCCTGCCACCGCAGATGACCAGGGAGCCCCCCCCAGATTGGGGAAGAAATCAGGCAGGATGGGGAGAGGAAGAAGCCTGCTGGGGACCAGAGCCTCACCTTTGATGTCGCCGTGTAGGATCCTGCGGGTATGGAGGTATTCCAGCCCTTCCAGAGCCTGGCCCAGGTAGTAAAGGGCTCGGTCCTCTGGCAGACAGCCCGTCTGCTTTATGAGCTGGCCCAGCGAGCCACCTAGGAGACCAATGGCCAGTCTTTACATGGGGCTCTTCCAGGCCTCCAAGCCAAGGGCAAGGGCCCTCCAAGGGCAGGTGGTGGAAAAGCAGGCCTTTCCTGCCAATGTCACAGGGTCAAGAGGTTAAAAATGGATCGACTGGGGACCAAGGTCAACCTGGGCAAGACTCGGGGAAACCCTTGGCTCTGAATTTGAAGGGAGAAAGAGTGGGACCCAGCTCCTTACCTTCCAGCAGTTCCATGAAAATGTTGACCCAGGGACCTTCCTTCACTGCTCCATACAAAGGGACAATTCTGGGCGAAGTCAATCCTGCACATGACATCAACTCCTCTGCCCGAAACACGTCAACTCGCACCTGAAACGGCCCAGAGGTGGTTGTGAGTAGGGTGAGGGACCAGGGCTGGCTCCCTGTCATCCTGTCAGGCCCCTTGATGCTCCCTGCACAGAGACTGTTGATGTCCCTAGTGACAACTCTGAGGCCAGGCAGGACCCTGGTAAGCCTACAGGACCCTCAGAAATTAAACTGTGTACCCTTGGGGTCAGGGGCAACTCCTAGGTCTTGATTAAATTCTGCAGGGCTGACGTGTGCAAAAACACAAAAACTTGCAATCCTTATCCAGACTCCTGGCAGGTCGCCCACCCTCAAATCTGCCAAACAAAGAACTTTTTATTTTTTATTTTTTACTCCAGCACAAATGTCTGGGCAATTTCTAGAACATGGAACCTTCATTTATCAACACCCACAACTACTCTTCAGATGCTGGGTTTCGGACTTATCTGCCAAGATTCTGACTCTGTCAATGTCTCTGAATCCTCAGCACTCTTCTCTCATGATTGTCTTTTTCCTCTGAGGACTAAAATATCCACGCAGACCGCGCAGTGTTGTTGACTCTGTTTGCAGCTGTTTCCCTAGCATCTGGGCACAGGAAAGGCTTCTGGGGAGGGGTTTGGCCACGGACCCTCCCACTGTGGACTAGCAGGCCTGAGAACACCCACTCCTTTCTGCAGGGACCAGTACGGTTCGGAAGGGAGAAATAGACACATCCTGGGCAGAGAGCCTAGCTCAGCCACGTCTAAAGGTAGATCAATTCCCCTAAGCTATGTGTTTCCATGTGAAAGGAGGGGACAAGGGCATCTGCTCCTGGGCACAGTGAGGATTTGGAGAGATAATAACCAGCACCCAGCCTGGCAACCCATGGGAAATGCTAACTTCCCACCTCCTCCATCTAGTTCAAATAAGAACAGCTTATTAAATGCTTAGACTTCCTAAACAGACGTTCTTTCCAGCTCCTGGGGTGTACTCATGGTCGCCTTGAGATACCACCAGGGGGCGCCAGTGGTAGCAAAACCAGCCTGGAAAAAATCAGTCAGGACCTGGCAGTTTTCTTGGAGACCTGCTGACTCGGCAAACAGGAGCTCTGACGTGGTGGGGTTTTTGGACATTTGCCTATCAGTGGAAAATGTCTCTCTTCTGGTTACATAAAGAATATCTGGTTTTGTTAATCAACTCGCATGAACTTTGATTCTGTCAGTGTTTCCAGCTCTGAACCTAATTCTCCAGTGGGACTTATATTAGGAAATGTCTGTAATCTTACTGCTCCCAAACTGTTAGCCAGAGCACCTTGGGGCATCACAGAGAACTCAGAAGGGCCCATAAGCAATGATGGCAACAGCAGTGATGTCATCACTGCGGGACACCACGTAAACTGCTAGCCTGGTAGTTCACTTTCAACATTAGATCGCGCAGCATTCCTTTTGATGATACGTCTTCATGAAACTAGGCTTTTAAAGGTTCCTGTGATACATACTTCAAGGGGAACATGTGGGCCAAGAAACAAAGGTGATGGTATCCAATCCGATCTCAAAGTCTGAGAAACTGCGCAGTACCCAACAGTGAGTACCATTTGTGATTATACTTGTCTAACAGAACAACAAACTTATATGTATTGTTATTCAAATGGCTACTAAGTTGTTAGGATAAAGATGTTATCTGACCTAATTACTTAATAAATGGAACTGTTATGTACTTGTTTTGGCCTGGGGTGCCATGAAAAAATTACTGAGACATCAAGAGCTGTGAATCAAGAAAGTTTGGGAATCTCTGCTTTAGCTTTTAAGAGATCCATACGATTCATAATGTTAAAAGCATTCCCACTCACCCAACCAAAGGGGGTTGAAGGAGACGCTTCAAAACACAAGATGCTTTAGAAATCTGTGCCAACTCAGGGAGGGCAAGCTGGAAGGGCAGTCCCAAGGGAGCCAGGTCGGGGAGGACACACAGGCTATGTAGCCCAGGCCAGCGTGCCCATCTGGCTCACACACCCCCCACCACTTCAGTGTCCTAATCCAGAAAGTGAGGGGCTGGACTGTGATAAGGATGTTAATAAGAACTAATACTGAATGCACACTTAACACATGCTAGGCATTGTTCTAAGCACTTTCTAATCATTGGTTATTTACATTGGTGTGAGGTGATAGTCTCATTATCTCCACAGAGCAGGTGCTTGGTGGCAACTGGCTTTACTTGGCCAAGGCCACACTATCCCAGATCAGTGGCAGAGTCAAAAGGAGGCTCCCAGCCTGGCCAGTGTGGCTCAGTGGTTGAACATCGACCCATACACCAAGAGGTCACCAGTTTGATTCCTGATCAGGGCATATGTCCAGATGTAAGCCCGATCTCCAGTGGGAGGCATGGAGGAGGGGGGCAATCAATGCTCTCTCTCATCGATGTCTCTATCTCTCTCCCTCTCCCTTCCTCTCTCTCTAAAATCAATAAAGAGCCTGGCCAGTGTGGCTGAGTGGACTGAGCGTCATCCCATGGACTGAGTTACCGGTTCGATTCCCAGTCAGGGTACGTGCCTGGGTTGCAGGCTCGATCCCCAGTGGGGGCCATGTAGGAGGCAGCCGATTGATGTATCTCTCTCACATTGATGTTTCTCTCTCTCTCTCCCTTCCTCTCTCTCCAAAAATATCAATAAAAAACATATTAAAAAAATTTTTTAAATCGATAAAGAAAAATTTTAAAAAATTAGGAGGCTCCCAGAACTTAATGGTTTTTAACCTTCTTTGAGCCACAGACTCCTTTGAAAATCTGATAAATGACACCGTGAGCGCGCACGCGCGCACACGCACACACACAGTTCATGGATCCTATGAATTCTCCTCTGACTAGGATGAGAAGTTGTATGTTGGTGGTTAAAAAGAACTAGCGCAATGCATATGTACCAGTAACGAGATCTGTCCATGATATACTATTAAATGAAAAAACATGGTGCAGAATATTATCTAGGGTTCAATTTCATTTTAATAAAGGAAACAACTACATGTTTATACAGTCAGCCCTCATTTATCGCAGTTAATCAGTTCCAGACTCTACTGCGATAAATGAATTTCCGCAAAGTAGGATTCTTTATTTATATACAGTCATCCCTTCCCACTTCGAGCTTCGACTTTCCCGGCTTCACTCTATCGCGGTCACGAAAGTCGGAGTGAGAAGTGGCAAGGGACGACTGTATTTTTGCCCTGGCCGGTTTGGCTCAGCGGTTAGAGCATCAGTCTGTGGACCAGAGAGACCTGGGTGCAGTTCCCACTAAGGGCACCTACCTCGGTTGCAGTTTGCCCCCGGCCCTGGTAGGGGTTGTGTGGGTGGCAACCAGTCAGTGTCTCTTTCTATCTCTCCCTTTCTCCCTCCCGCTCTATCTGAAGATAAAAAAACAAAAAAATAAAAATAAAAAATGTCCTCAGGTGAGAATAAAAAAAAGAGCCTGTATTTATTTTCAATTAAAAGTGAAATCAGCCCTGGCCAGTTTGGCTCAACGGTTGGAGCATCGGCCTGCGGTCCTGAGAGACCCGGGTTCAGTTCCTGCTCAGGGCTCGTACCTCGGTTGCAGTTTGTCCCCGGCCCTGGTTGGTCGTGCAGATGGCAGCCACTCGATGTGTCCCTTTCACGTCGATGTTTCTCTCTCTCTGTTCCTCTCTCTCCCTCCCACTCTACCTGAACAAAAAATGGAAAAATGTCCTCGGGTGAGGATTAAAAAAAAGTGAAATCAGCCTGGCCGGTGTGGCTCAGTGGTTGAGCGTCAAGCCATGCACCAAGAGGTCACCGGTTTGATTCCTGGTCAGGGCACATGCCCAGGCTGTGGGCCAAATCCCCAGTAGGGGGCGTGCAGGAGGTGGCCAATCGATGTTCTCTCTCATCGTTGTTTCTCTCTCTCTCTCTCCCTCTCCTTTCCTCACTCTCTCTCTAAAAAAAATCAATAAAGAAAAAACATATTTTTAAAAAGTGAAATCAAAATTTTAAAAATCAAAAAAACTCTAAACCCTGGACTGGTGACCAATCAGCATCTGACCTGGGACCATGGATGTTCTAGAAGGAGGACCACGGAAGCACTGTCCTTACCACCTGCTGGGTCCTCCCCAGGGAGAACTGGAGGGTGCACAGACTTGCTCTGACCCTATGTGCAGCCTGATGTCTGGTTCCCCACATCCTACCCCTTAGCAGCGAACTGATACTCAGATCTTCCAGAATATCCTAAAGGACTCCACTGTCTGCCCTACCCCCTGCCCTCGAGAGAAAGGAGGGGCCGTCAGCCCAGTCAAGGGCAGCTGTGTGGGCTGCTAACACGCCGTCCCCGCCGAGACCGTGGACAGCAGAGGAGGGTTCGGAGACTGGAAGCTCAGGTGGGCTCCAGCAGAAGCGGAAGTGCTGAGTGGATGGGCGGGAAGTCAGAGTGGTGCCTGGAGCTTTCCTGACTGCTTTGGGGAGGTGAGAAATGGAGTACTTGTCCTCTTCTACTATATTAGGGTTGTTTACCTTGTTGCCTGGGACTCTGAGAACCTCAGCAGGGGAACAGCTGAGAAGCCCAGTGACTAAGCTCCCCAGCACTGGTCATTCATCTCCAGGACACTTCACACCCTCTCAGGAGGGACAGCTGAGCCTTCTCCGATGGCCTGGGGAGGGAGCTGCAGCTGAGGAGGTCAGGCACGTGGCCTTGACATCCCAGTGGAAGATGATGACCCACGCTGGCAAGAACTCCGCACATGTTTTGGTCAGTGGGGGTTGGCAAGGGTGGAGCTTGCTTATTTGACACAGTATGTCTAAAGTTTGGGGTAATACCTACGGATAGTCCCCTCTCTCCTCCTATCACCCTGTGGCTCAAACTCTAAAACTCTAACAACCTGGCCCATGTACAAACCAGGGAAGCCAGGTTGACTGACATCACAATTTGTATCTTCACCCCTTAAAGCCACAGGCACCCATGACAGAGGCCGAGTTGATGTCCACTCTGCACAGGGCCTGGTCTGGCTATTTGGTTTCTTTCCATTTGGGGATCAGAATGTCCTTGACAAGAGCTGCTTGAAAACAAGGTCCATATCTGAGCTAGTTTATTTCACCTTGCCAACGGCCGAGGAAACGGCCCACAAAAATGTTTCCGATTTCTGGCTTCAGAGGTCCTGGATGCTGGCCTTGGGCCAGGGACAAGGTGGCTTCCAATAAAGGTGAGCTGACAGAGGGAGGAGAGAAGGTGGCAGCGGGGAAGCGGGGCTGACACCTTCCAGGTCTGAATGTGCAGCTGGTGGACTGTATGTGATTTGACAGTAGGCGGCCTCAGGCCCAGGTCTGGCTCTGTGGCTGTGGACAAGGCCTGTGACTCTCTCTGGTTTCCAGTTCTAACATTGGTGACATGAGAGAGTGGAGCGGTGATTCATGCCTCTGTCTCTAACTGAAATCCTAGGCCCACGGGTCCTTCTCCCGCCCTCCCTGAAAAGCCGTTCAAAGGCGGACTCCAGTAAGGCAAGTCTGGGTCTCTTGCTAAGTCTCATTTCCTCATAACGCCCATCTCCCAGGACCTATTATAACTGGGCAACAGGAGGCAGAGCCCAAACTCAAACCAGACCTGACTCCCTACATGCACAGCCTCCCCCTGGAGGCACCTGTTAGGTGGAGGCTGTTGCTCTTGCGATCACCTTCTGGTCCGGGTGTGGGGTGGCCCTACTATGTGGTTAGGGCTTTCAGCCCCACATGAATGTCATGATGATCCACCCACCTTCCAGGTTACCTGCCCCTGGCTTGGCATCAGGAGTGGCCCAGCTGTACACACACTCTGATCTCCTCTTATGTACACACATACCAAGTGCAGCTAAGAGAACCATTAGCAAGTTAGACCCATGCCACCCTGTGACTGTCCTTGAAGGAAAGCAGAGGGCGCAACAGGCCACATGGCTTTCCTCTCCCGCCCCTGGAGCCCTGGCACGCTTTTTTTTTTTTTTTTTTTGGCATACCTTTTTGACAGCACACTGGAAGCCAGTCTGTTTGTCCTCCATCCTGTGCACCTCTCCGAAGGAGCCTCTACCCAGGCAGGGTTGGCGCGTGGCCCAGTGGACCTCCTCTCGGTACTCGTAATCCACTGGCTTCAGTTTCTGGAGTTGGCAGGAGAGAGGCCAGTGTCAGTAGCCAGGGCCACAGAGGGACGCAGAGTTACAGTTAGGAAGGCTCTCTAGCCGGCAGTCCTGGCCCGGCTGCGGACGCTGAGCCTCACAACCAAAGACACCACAGAGTTGGGGTTTGGGAGGGCAGGACCCAGAGAGGGGGTTATGGGAAAAAGGTGAAGGCAAAGAAGAGCCTCACGGGCTGCCCGAGGCAAGCCAGGCCTCGTGATGAAAATCCTCCCAGACGTGTGGTTGTGGGACAGAAACGGAATTGTCAACACCCTTGACAAGGACAAAATATAACTCAGGAGTTCAAAGGTAGAAGAAAGGGAAGGACAATGAAGGGGGCAGGGGCCAAGGGATAACATGAAAGATGGGTGGAATAAAGCCCAGAAATGTAAGTGTTCGAAATCATTTAAAGTTATAAAATTATCTAGTAAGAGAACTGGAGGAGAAGGGGAAAGAAGGGAATAGTGAAGGGTAAAATCCTCATGTTTCATTTCGGGGGTCATGGGGTAACTTCTGAAATTGGTATTTGCTTATTCCCATTTCTCAGCATATGTATTATTCATATAACACACACACACACACACACAATCAGCCACAATGAGGTAACCAACTAGAACTAAAAATAGAAATAGCTAAAAAGACGGAAAAGGGAGCCTGGAGGATGAGTGGGAGACTACCGCTTTTCATCCATGACAAGCAATTTGTTATGATTTCATTTTTTTATCACATGCATGAGTGATTTTAATAAAGAGAGAAAACTGTCCCCCTCAAGGGTGGGAACTTGACAGTGGATCTGGCAGGTTTCCAGCGATGCTCCTTCTCCCATAGCGGCCCCCCTCGCCCCCCTGATTCCTGGCTGCTGCCCTCAACTCCGGACTCGGTGGGGTGGTAGTGGCAAGTGTATGTGTTTGGGGGACTACTTACCTCGGTGAGCAGGACTCCCTCGCTGTCCTCCGTTTGGGGGCTGGGCTCCTGGGGCCTGCAGCCCTCCGCTGACCAGGTCTTGGCCAGGCTAGCCAGGCTGTGGGCCTGGCCGGAGCTCACACTGCCTTGCAGAGCATGAACCAGGTACTCCTCCACAGAAAACTTCTCATGAGTGCCAGGAGGCGGGCAGCTGGGCTTCAGAGGCGAGCCAGGCAGGGGTTTCTGACTGTCTACACAGGCCAGTTTGCCCGGGGGTAGGCCAGGCAGGGGTTGGTGGCTATCTACACAGGCCAGCTTGCCCAGGAAGGCCTCCAGGGGGTGAGGTTTATAGGGCTGGAGAGGGTGGAATGGGAAGGGATGGGGCAATCTGCCGTAGGGGAAGGGGTGAGGGGGCTGGGGCAGGGGGCCGACATCCTGAGGGTGGTGGAGTTTCCACACGTGGTTCAGACACTGCAAGGGGCTGATCAGTTTGTGGAGTTCCGGTCGAGGCAGAGCTGGCCGTAAGCCCTCCCCAAGTTTCTTAAAACAGAGTTGGCCAAGGCCCGGCTCCTTCAGAGGCTTGGTGAACTGGGGGGCATTTCTAATATATGAAGTGCCAAGTGGGGACTTGTCCTCCTGTGGGGAAAACACAGGTGTTAGGACATAGGCCCAGGGCCAAGGCACAGGCGCTGTCCCAAAGGCCCCATGAACCGGTTCTGGGGGTGGTGACAGGTCTCACCTGCACAGGGACTGTGCAGCTCTCCTGCTCCGGGGTTCTGGGGAGGGGCCTGGCCAAGGCCACTCCCGCCTGAGCCAGGGACTTCGAGCTCTTCTTCTTGCGTTTCTTCCGGGCTTTGCCGCGTCGTTTCCCTTTCCAGCACACACGGGCCATTTTGCCCTCAGTTGCGTGGGCCACATTGTTGGGGATCTGATCAAGGCTCTCAGACTGGCTGTCAAAAAGGGGACAGATACACATGTTGAGCTCGAGGAGGCAGGAAGACGTAACTGCTTAGGTAACTGGTTAGAGTCATAGATACATCCCAGCTTCCTTGGTACTTGTGTGAACACAGGAACATTCCCCAACCCCCAGGAACCTCAGTTTTCTCATTTATAAAATGGGTGTAGTATTTTCTGCCACATGGTGGAGAGGTTTAAAGAAAGCTTATTTAAAAAGCCTACCTCGGTGCCTGGCCTCAAAGGCAAGAATCCAACCAACAATATTACTGTTGTGACAGGTTGTGTTGTGACACACACTTCTGCACACACACTCTCTCCCTGCTCTCCAAGATGAACAGCTCCTGGAGGTCTCAGAAGGTGGTGTGTGACTTGGAGGGTCACACTCCATGGTGGACATTCTTAGCTCTAACTGAAAAGAGTTTATTTTTGTCACCTCCAGAAGAAGGGACAGTTGAGGTTGGTCACCTCTGATATCTGGTGACCAGGGACTAGAAAAGCCTGGCCTTCTTTGATGGCTTGAGGCTCACGCCCACCATGGATCTCACTTGGCTCTTACCCCTGCTGGGTATTAAGACACTGGCAACAGTTTCCACCCTGGTGGGTTTGGCTCAGTGGTTAGAGCATTGGCCTGCAGACCAAAGGGTCTCAGGTTCGATTCTCAGTCAAGGGCACGTACCTCAATTGCAAGTTTGATGCCTGGCCCTGGTCGGGGTTATGCAGGAGGCAACCAATTGATGTGTCGTTCCTGCATTGATTCTTACATTGATGTTTCTCTCTCCCCCTCCCTCTCCTTCCACTCTATTTAGAAATCAATGGGAAAATATCCTTGGGTGAGGATTAAAAAAAAAGACACTGGCAACAGTTTCTGAAAGGGCTGCTGCCAAACAGCTGCGGAGCAGACCTCAGCCTCAGCCACTCTCCCCAAAGGAGGCAGACACGCACCCCAATCTGGAGCAGACCTCAGCTACCCTCCCACAAAGGAGGCAGATGGACCCCAATCTGGGGGGCTGCTAGAGGCCTACACGCCTCTCTCGGGTAGCTGGAGGAAGTGGGTCCACCTGAAACCCCACCCTGGGCAAAGTAATTGGGAGCAGTATCAGGAATTGACCAAACACTCAGCATTTCTGAGTTCAAGGGCAGCAGCCCTCCCCACAACCTTTTAGTCACTAGCAGTTTCCAAATTCCAGTGATAAAAAAGTCCGCCTGGTGGTAGAGGAGGAAGTTGTTTCCAGGTTCAACTTTCAGTTGCCAAAAGTCATCTTTGGGGATGGGGAGCCTGGGAACAGACCGAGCCGTGCTTGGCCTGCTTCCTACAGGGCCATGGAGCTGTGAGTCTGTCTGCCTGTTTCCAAACCCTCGTCCCTCCTGGGGTGTGTCTCGAAAAGACGGGGCAGGTTTCTCCCACAGTCAGAGGGGCCCCTCTGGGCCTGCACTTATGGTCACACACCAGCGAAAGAGTGGCTCCTGTTCCCAGCACCCTCCCTATTGATGGGAAACAAGGGGGAGCAGCAAGGACTCTGAGGAGAATAAAAATAAAATGTGAAGCTGATGTGACCCAGAGGCAGTCATCCACACGCTGTGAAAACTTTTGAAAAGCTTATTTGGCTGAGAGAGCAGCTCAGCCAGGAAAGCCTGGGCGGCTTCCAAGAGCTGCACCACAGGTGCTAAAGGAGGGAGCCAGGGGTCACTCGGGAGTGGCCTGGGCGCGCAGCTGGGGGAGGGAGGACGCTGGCTCAGTTCCCTGGGTCCCACTCAAGCTGACCTCCTTACCTGTACTGTTTCGACCCAGCGATGAAAATCCGCTCTGAAAAGGTGGGGCTGAACTCTTGGCTATTCTCACCTTGTAAGTAAAGGAAAAGGGATTGGACAAGCAGAAGAGAGGAGGAATGGGAATTCAGCACTTAGGAGAGAGGCATTTCACAGACACCCTCTTGGGCCACCCCTCCTCCTCCTCCGCAGACCACCTGTCTGGAGGCTCACCTCCTTCCCCACGCCAGCTCTTCTCACTCACCGTCTCACCCCACCCTCCCAGTCTAAGAGTCAGGAGCAGAGGGCATGCCTATAATATGGGGTCATAGGGTGCCCACCTCACTTCACTTACCGTGAAGCTTAAGTGAAATGATCTATACATTATCCTAAACACAGTGCCTGGCACATATAACAGCTCAATAAATAGAAGCTGTAATGTATTTACATATAGATGTCTATGTGTGTTTATGCATATTTTATTACATTATGTCACTCACTCCACTTCAGTTTTTATTCTCTCATCTTTCCTCAAAAGCCAGACAGGAGGCAGTGGAAGATGAGGGGAAGGATGTGAGTCTGTTGGAAAATGCCATCATGAGCTGTCTGTCTCTGCCCCGAGAAACCTCCTGGGTTGGAGGGTGGGTGGGGGAGCAGAGACTCCTGGCCCAACCCAGCCCTCCTGGGAGTTTCTCAGGCTCCGGCAGTATTGTAAGTGGAAGCAGAAAGGACCAGGCCAGGCCTCACCCTGCTGCAACCTGTGGCCTGTCAACTTGCCCAGCAGGCCCAAGAGCAGGTGTTCATTCTTTGGGGTGGGGCCACCTCGACATGGAAGAGAATCAAGCCCCAGAGGGGCTTTCCAGGAGACCTGGCCTTTCCTGTCTGGGCCACTCCAGAGATGCTTAGGCTGCCCGAGGGCACAACAGAAGGCTAAGGGCCTGCTTGATGATGCTGCAGAGACTCCCCAGGACCTGGGAAGCCCACGATGTCCTGCCTCCCGGCTCTCTTCCCTGCTCTGGTTACAGTGGAAGAAAGCCTCCCTTTGCCACTTCTCCCTTCTTAGGTTTCACTCCCCAGCACTGTTAAAGCTCACACTTCACACTCATTCTTGGCTTCGCCTCCCAGGTGTATCTTGTGAGAATGACACAGAGTGATCACCATGACCTCCCTCTTCCACAGGGGACCCCAATCCTCACCTGTGCCAGCCACCCTTGCACAAGGACCGCACCCACCTGCCCTCTCTGCCCATACTCCCCAACCTGGGGCCCCTTACATTCAGCCTGGGCAATGATGGAGATGGCGGCCAGCCCTCCGTCAGAGCCTTCCTTGGCTGTGCCTTTGGTAATCACGTCGTTCAGGATCTCCCACTTCCCGCAGAACACGGGGCTCTTCTCCACGGCCTCAAGCTTGTTGACGGAGCTTTGCTTCTTCCCCATTGCCTGTGTCTTCTCCTTGGCTTTGGCGAGCTCCTTCTGCTGCCCGATCGCTGAGCCAGGAGTGCCTGGGCAGGCCATTTCCATCACTGCCATCTCCCAGGCTCACGCTCACCCTGAGGGAGACCAAACACAGAGCAGGTCACTCGCGGACCCCGAGAGGCCCAGGTCACACATGGGTTGGAGGAGAAAAGCAGGGGGAAATGGGGCTCTGCCTCTTTGCACCACATGCATTTATCCTCCAAATGTCCCAAATGGCAAAGAAGTCCAGCTGTCAGCATCCACACCGGCCCCATGAGCTGTGAGCCCCCCGTCCTACCAGCACACCCCCATAAACAGGCTCCTCCACTCTGCTCTACAAGGCTCCCAGCTCATTTCCTCCAGACAACCAGAGCACAAACATCTGGGTTGGTTCTTTCTTGCCTTATAAATAATGGCTGAATCTTCTGGTGTTTGTTTTATGGTAACTTTACCTCCCCAGAACAGGGTGGTGGATCCTATATTCCCAAATCATTAGTCACCGCATTGACTGCAAAAGCGTTGCCTTCTTAGAGGACATGTCTATACCATCCACAGTGGCTTTTCTCCAACAGGAGAGAAGAAAGGTTTTTTTCTTTCCCCACTAGAGGACATTTTTCCTTTTTTTTTTTTTGTTCAGATAGAGTGGGAGGGGGAGAGAGAGAGAGACAGAAACATCGACGTGAAAGGGACACATCGAGTGGCTGCCACCCGCATGACCAACCAGGGCCGGGGACAAACTGCAACAGAGGTACATGCCCTTAGCAGGAACCAAACCCGGGTCTCTCGGAACTGCAGGCCAACGCTCTAACCGCGGAGCCAAACCGGCCAAGGTGAGAAGAAAGGTTTTGTTCCCGAGCAGGAGGCAGATATGTGTATGCGTGTGTGTGCGCACGTGCACGTGTGTGTATCTTATATATATAAAATCTTACACAGTCTAAAATTCAACATGCAAATGGCAGCACCAGCACTTGGCTCCTGTCCCAAGAAACATCTCCAGAGTCTGGAAGGAACTGACATTCTTCCTTCTGTAATGTCAAACTCATTTGCTGAAAACCTCTCCTAGGTATCATTTTTCTTTTTTAAAAGAAGTGGTTTTATTGATTTTTTTTAGAGAGAAAGGAAGAGAAAGAGAGAGAAAAAACATCAATGTGAGAGAGAAACAGCGATTGGCCACCTCCTGCACGCCCCCTACTGGGGATGGAGCCCACAACCCGGGCATGTGCCCTGACCAGGAACTGAACCAGGACCTCTCAGTCCATGGGAAGATGCTCAATCCACTGAGCCACACCAGCCGGGCTAGGTAGCATTTTTCTTTCAGGCAACGTTAGTACTGGAATTGATATTAGAGCCTCCAACACCAAACTCAAGAAATATGAGGACAAAGCACAAAAATTCACCTCTTTCTAGGTTCCAGCTCCAGCAGCCCTGCATGTTATCAGGGAGCTGCAGGGTGAGCCCAGTGTGGCGACAACCTGTGTAAACAGCATGTAGACCAGAACTGCTATGAAACAGAATAGTGCCAACCTGAGATTGTGACCATTTGGGAACCCATTTATTTATTTATTTATTTATTTTTCTTTATTGATATTAGAGAGAGAGAGAGGAAGGGAGAGGGGGAGAGAGAGAGAGAAAGAGAAACATCAATATCAACTGACCACCTCCGGCATGCCCCCCACTGGTGATCAGGCCCACAACCTGGGCATGTGCCCTGACCGGGAATCGAACCAGCGACCTCTTAGTGCATGGGTCAATGCTCAACCAGTGAGCCACACAGGGGAACCCTTTTAAAGACTGGGACTGTGAACTCCCAAAGGACAGGGTTTTGACTTGCTGTAGACAAAGCCTGAGGAGGCACCAGACACAAACAGGCCTTTAGTGAGTGTTCTCTGGGGGCAGGCTGGTCCTACAGCGTTACTAACAGATGTAGTTTTCCCAGCTTAACTCCACGCTTGGGACAGAAAGGCAAACCCCGTGAATCACGCCAAACCTCTAAACCTCTGGCCTTTTGCCCTAACAAGCTAAAATGAGACAGTTGGAAGCTGGGAAACATTAGGCTGAAACCTTTCTACTGAGTCTGCCTCACCACAATGGCTATGAAAGACTCAAGCAGTCTGACTGGGGTGGGGTGAGGGGGATGGATGTGTTGGTCACTATTTGATCCTCACATCTGGGCCTCACATCTGGGCCTCCTTGCTTTGAACTCAGAGTGGCTCCTGCTTTCAGCATGAAGGCCTGGGTTTGGTCCGGAAGGCTAGATGCTGAGGAGGCTGAATGGGTGACTTCATTGTTACTTGATGACATTAAGAAGTCCAGGGGGTGTTCTGGCTTCAATTAGGCAAAAACCCCTCCAAGGCAGGCTGTTTTTCTTGTGAGCATACTTTCTTCCCACCCCACACCTCCTCAACCCCTGCAACCTCCAGGAAGGAACTGATCTAGAGCCTACAGCACCTCCTACCTCTCTCAGGTTCTTTACCAGGGGAATTGAGATCTTAAAAATAAACCCAAACCTCCAAATCTAGCAGTCTTAGAGGTCTGCTTACAGGGACCTCCACATTACTTTAACTTTCTCATTTTCACTTGAAGAAACTGAGGTCTCATCTAGCAGTGACTTGCCCAAGGTCACCCAGACTGTGTGTTAACAGTGCAGGGCCAGGACCTAGAACCACAGGCTCTTGGCTATGCTGCCCACTCCCTAAGCCTCCTGGGTTACAGGCGAACACAAGGGGGAATGCACAGACATCCCTGGCCGGAGGGCTCCTGAAGGCAGAGGTGGTGCCCTCAGTGTACAGCATAGTGAGGCACAAGACAATCGATGTTGGCTGAATGAGGGAGTCAGAGGATGTTCTTCAGAGACGGGATGATCCTGAGCATGGAGGATGAAGAGAGAGTTCCATCTGATGAGTGAGAGAAATGAGGCCAAGTAGTCAATGGTGGTTCTGAGGGCACCTGGTTATTAGAGACCGAGCTGTGCTGGGACTCACAGAGCCCGTCTCTGCCTGACACGGCTCACCCTGAGCTACAGCTCCACAAGAGAGGCTATAGGGGACCCTCACGCCCCCAACAGCCATCCTTTCACTTTGGTGTTTGGAAGGCCACTGGCCAGGCACCCAGATCTTCCCTCCATGAGCTTGTCAGGCTCCGCTGCCCCACTGAAGCTGAGGCGGAGGCAGCCGAGCTCAGGGCCTCTACAGTTCCCTGGTGACTCACCCAACGGCCTGGCAGGCAGGGAGGAACAAGAGGGCTGTTGAGAAGCTAACCCAGCAACTGGCAGCTGAACCTGTGAAGGGCACGGGGAAAACAGGCTGACCCTCACCTCCCAGGGGCACGGAATCACGGCTCCGGAACTGTACAGCTTCTCCTGTGGCTGGCTTTCCCGGGCCACATGACCATGACTCAGGCCCTCACAGACAAACTCCAAGTTCAAGAGGCTATTCTCGAGACACTTTGGCCTGACAGCAGCTCTTGTATACACACACACACACACACACACACACACACTTACTGGCTCCTTTCCTCCTTCCCCACTTCTATACTGGTTCTGGTCTACAAAAACAGCTTCTGCATTAAGCCTGGGACTGCTGGCCAAGTGGCCTTCCCAGCCCTGGGTTTTTTGGTCCCTGGCTCGTCACCTCAGCTCACAGCCCTGCCTCTTCTCTCTCCTGCAGCTTGTGGAGATTGAGGACTAAGTGGGAGCCAGTTATGTCTCTGCTTTTGAAGGCAGGTCAAAATCCTGACCTATTACTCAGTCTGGACTCCTCCCCCACCCCCCAGCTCTACTCATGCCTCAAATGCATTTAAGCTTCTGCTCTGACACAGCTGAGGATGTGAGCAGCAGCAAGAGCCAAATCCACTCAGCTCACCCACAAGGACATGAAAACAAAAGTGGAAGGGAGAGGAGTGGCATCATTCGGTACTCTCTTAGGGCCCGATGCACATACGCTGCCTGTTCTCTCTTCTGTGGTGCCTCGAGGAGCCCCCGGGGAAATCTAGGAAGGACTGGATGGTATGAGATCAACCTTTAGGCAGAGCTGCATGGCAGGCTAGACCCGAAGACTCAAACTTGGCTCCCTTACCAGGTAGTATAGGTCTTCCACACAAGGTGGGGAGTTCTTTTTTTTTTAAATTCTCACCCGAGGACATTTTTCCATTTTTTGTTCAGATAGAGTGGGAAGGAAAGAGAGGAAGAGTGAGAGAAACATCGACATGAAAGGGACACATCGAGTGGCTGCCACCCGCATGACCCAACCAGGGCCGGGGACAAACTGCAACCGAGCTACACGCCCTTAGTGGGAACCGAACCCGGGTCTCTCTGGACCGCAGACCAACACTCTAACCTCTGAGCCAAACTGGCCAGGGCCAGAATCTGTATTTTTGACCAGTTCTCTGGATGATTCTGATGCCAAGGGGTCAGGGACTGCCATTTTATCCCCGCTCTACAGTGTAAGGCTGCGCTGTCCAGTATGGCAGCCACTAGCCACACGTAGCTATTTACATTTAAATCAATTAAAATGAAATAAAACTTAAAAATCAGTTCCTCAGTTACACTAGTTACTATGTTGGACAGTGAAGCTAGAGAACATTTCCATCACTGCAGAAAGTTCCACTGGACAGTTCTGGTCTAAGGCTGTGACAACAATGTTTTCTCGACAGTAACATTTCTGTTCCTAGGATTCTGGGACAGGAATGGGGTTTAGGTTAAATGCACTTAAAAAAATTAACTGGAGGGTACAAAAATCATGTTTTAAATTTTATCTTCAGTGTTGATAACCTCTCTAAAATGTATCATATTTTACTTCCCTGTTTTAGTAAGTTCAGTTAAAACACCAGACTAGGAACCAGACAATAAGGGTTTAGCCTTAGCCAGTTTGTTTGAAAAAGCAGTGGGACCATTTTTGTCAAATGAAATCATACCGCAACTCCCAATATATAAAAGAGTTAGAAGTATGCAACATCTATGTAACTCACATTAGAAACAGCTTCTCTACTAAAGAAGGTGGGCAAGGGTCCTACACATTTGGCTTCCCTTCACCCATCAAGGACCTCTGTGGAATCCTAGGTCTCCAAGGAGAAGAGTTTGCAAACCAGTGGCCTAGGA